GTGCGCCTCCCAGTAAAATTCATGGAGAAACGACAGCGTACCATGGCATGATAAGAGTCGACACAGGTACTCCAGTATGAGCGGCGGATGGAACCCCGCCACCTGTAGCTTATGGCTATAGCGTCTGCTGCCGTCTCCTAATTGGATTGCCTGTCTAAAGTGTGTTTGGTGCTGAGTTACCTGCGGGGTAATGGCTGATTATGACGCGTAGCAGTGAAAGCCGCAAGGAAGCTGTCTCGTCGATGGCGCCTTATCTTTGCACGATAGCCAGGTGTTTGTGACGGTATGTTGTCTACACAAGGTGTAGGCGCCTTGACCCTGGATGTTTGCTTAAGGCATTAAACTTTTCAGTTAAGTCCGCCTTCTCTCCCTCTTCTTATTCTTTATTTCAAAGGTCCTCATGATTGTATGGCAGCGAAGCATCGGTTCAAATGGCTGATGTACTGCTGCTGCTGCTGATGATGATGAGTGATTAGCACTTACAGTTGTAATTGTGTCTATAAGCCCTGGGAGTACGTCCAAAGAGGTGCTTGACTTTATTCGCTTTCAATCCGCAAACAGATGTTTGATACTGGGTGACTTCGATCTACCGGAAGTTTGCTGGGCAGGTCTTTCTTGCAAGTCGGCGGTATTTTCGGTGCAGATCTTGAGCTTACGCTACATGTACCGTTGCATCAGTTCGTGGAACTCCCCACTAGGTACATGGATGCCCAAGTACCGTCTATTTCTTCTAGCTTTTGCCAAGTCACTAGACTTCATAGGTGACATTACTTACGGCTCGCCCTTAGGTGCTAGTGATCATGTCTGTTTATCATTCAGTTGTTCTCTGACCAGATGTCACCAGAGCATCGCTGAGCCATATCCAAACCTATGGCATGCTAACTATTTGACAATGCATATCAAGGCTTCTGGGTTGCGTTGCAAAATCTCGGTGGCCTTATCTGACGGGAGTGTATTCCCTACATCCCGCTTGCGAGAAGAAATGAGACGAGCACGTCCCCCGTGGATAGATACCACGGGCAAGTACCTGCTCCAGAAGTGTGCTATTTGCTGGAGGACCTACCGTGCGGTTCCATCAACCAGCACCTATGATAGGTACCGCGACGCTAAAAATAGATGTAAACAACACTTGCAAAACCTCGACTGTTGTGCGAAAACGGATTGGCTGATGGAGTTTCGGCAAATCCGATGTTCTTCGCTTATGTCAAGAGGCGCTGTGCTTCAAATTCGGTAATTCCAACCATGTTGCGGACCGATGGAACTCATGCGTATGCGGACTCAGACAAGCCTCGTGTACTTAGCGAGCAGTATGCAGGAGCTTTTGTACGTGATGCCGCTTTGACTAGCGTTGAACTTGTCCCCAGAGTCCCTGAGGGTTCTTAGCCGAATTTACTGTGGTAGAAACGCAAGTCCTTAGGCTGCTGCAAAAACAGTACCCTTCTAAAGCAGCTGTACCTGATTCAATTCACCCGAAGCTTCTGCATGTGTTGGTGGCGGAACCAACGACCGCTGACGATGATGTTTCGGTAGTCACTTGACAGCTGTACATTATCTTCTGAAAGGAAAGAGACTGTCGTCTGTTCTGTCTTCGAAAATGGCGACAAAAGTCTGTCAGCTAGTTTTAGGCCAGTCAGTCTGACTATCGTCGTAATCAAACTGCTTGAAAAGCTAGTGTGAGATTCGTTGGAAGCTCACCTGGAAAGATTTAATCTACTCAGTAGTGCACAACACGGATTCCGGAAGGGATTTTCGTGCCTAACGAATTTGTTGGTTGCTCGTGAAGCTTGGGCCGGAGCAGTGGATAATGGCCGCGTAGTGGATGTGCTTTTCTTCGACTTCTCGAAAGCATTTGATTAGGTACCCCACTTGAGGCTATCACAAAGCTGAGCTCCTACGGCGTATCTGGCCGCGCCCTTCACTGGGTATCTGCATTCTTGCAGGGAAGAGAGCAGTTTGTAGGTGTGTGTCGCAGCTTATCCTTTAGGCAAGCGGTCCTTAATGGTATCCCACAGGGCTTGGACCGATGCTGTTCTCCGTCTACGTAAATAATCTCCCTGAAGAGCTTGGGGTATCATCCCTATTGTTTGCTGATGACCTTAAGCTATGGAATTTTGTAAATGTCCCTGGGGGTTTTGAGGCCATACAGCATGCCCTGGACAGACTCTGGGACTGGTCTACTTTGTGGCTACTGCCCATTAATCAGGCTGTTCCGTCCTTCGTATAGGAGCAACATTCCCACCTTCGAGACACATGCTCGGTTGAGTCGAACTTCCCTTGTCTCCAACCAGGTAGAACTAGGCGTCGTCCATTCCTCGTCTTTGCATTCTGGTGACAACTGGAAGAAGGCCGCAAGTAGGGGTTTCAGAATGTTGTAGTTACTACGCCGTCCTTTTGGGGTCCTAACTGCGGACATATTTGTGAAGCTTTTCTTAGCTTTCCTTCAGTCCCATCTGGCATACTGCGTCCAGGCTTGCTTCCCCTGCCTTGTTCGGGACAAAATGGAGCTCGAGAGGGTTTTGAGAGTATGTACCAAATTGGTCGCGGGGTTACGGGGGCGAAAGTACCCCGCTCGTCTACTTAGCTTGCATGTGTATTCACTGCACTACCGATGGCTTCGAGGAGACCTAATCCTTACTTACCGCATTTTAACAGGGAAGATTGGACAGGACCTAAGCTGGCTACGTAGCCCGGCTAGGTTGCCTTGTCTTCGCCGTCATCACATGACGCTATACAAGCCGCGTTCCGACCAAATGAGGGCGGAAACTCGGTTATCGCATAGAGTTATCGAACGCTGAAACCCACTTCCAGAGAGTGGTCAGTGAATTTACAGTTAAGGGTTTCGAGCATCAGACGCTTTTGGGTGGCAACACGTAACCTTTCCCTTCTATCCATATCCATCTTCCAACTTTGAGTTCATATTCTATCATTCTCCCCACCCTTTGGTGTTATTCCTCATTTAAATGACTTTCCTTCCTCATTATCTTCCGTTTTCTTTCTACCTCTCCCTTACTTTACGTGACCTACACAGCATGGACTGCTAGTGCAGGGAACGTGGGCAGTAATTAGTTGACCAAACGACTGGAAACGCTCGGTGGTGAGGCCGATCCCGAAAGGTGGCGACCCCAGTAAGGTGGAAAACTACAGGCCGATTTGTCTTACACCCGTTTTGGCCAAAATGATTGAGAAGATAGTAAAAAAGCGTCTAATACATCTGTTGTAATCGAAAGAACTTCTGACACCGGCACAACACGGATTCAGGATGGGATATTCTTGTGTTACCAACTTACTTGTGACGAGACAGGAATGGTTGCAAGCACTGAACCGGGGAAAGTCCGTCGACGTAATCTACATAGACTTCAGCAAAGCATTCGACAAAGTTAATCATGAAGTGCTTCTAGACAGATTAAGATCGTGTGGTGTCGGAGGATCGTTACATCGATGGATCCATGAATTTCTCGTTGGAAGAAAGTGGAGGGTACAGGTGCACGGCCATCTAACCGATTGGTATCCCTCGACAAGTGGTGTACCTCAAGGTACGGTACTGGGACCCACTCTGTTTCTCATCCATATCAGCGAGCTGCCTTAGCTCCTACAGTCGCCGTGTGCACTGTTTACGGATGACCTCAAAATTTGGCGAGAAATTAATACTCTCGATGACTGTGACATTCTCCAACAAGACCTCGACCGCCTCGCAGTATGGTCTGCTGAAGTTCACCTACCGGTCAACCTGGCAAAGTCCCTATTCATGAATCTCGGGAAGGCTGTTCACGGACGAACGTACACCCTAGACGGCCAACCACTGCATCCCACACCTTCCGTGAAAGACCTAGGTGTACTCTCACGCTGCGACTTGAAGTCCGTCGACAACACCAACAAACTGTATCGAAACGGACTGCGCATGCTCTGGGCGCTGAAACGCAGCTTCTGCACTTGGTCTGAGGACGTCGCCACTCGCCTCTTCTCTTCCATCGTCAGACCAATGGCAGAGTACGGCTCGCCTGCATACTGTCCGATCACTCGCGGCGAAGCGCAAAAGATCGAACGAGTACAACACGTCGCCACCAAGTTGATCCCCAGCTTGAGAGGCTTACCGTATGAAAACCGGTGCATGAAACTTGGGCTCTACACCTTGTCATATCGCCGTGTTCGAGTGGTTCTTATCATGACCTACCGTATTTTACATCTCGGTCATTTCCCCATGCTGAGGTCGTTACTCCACTTGCGAGTACCATGCACCACACGTGGGCACAGGTATAAACTCGTGGTACCTGATCTGAAGAAAATCCCACACCCCCTGTGTTTCGAGTGGAGGGTTGTGCACGCCTGGAACAGTCTGCCAGAACACGTCGTCGAGGCCGAATCTGTGCAGAAATTCAAATCTTTGTTGGATTTACACTTCGCTAACATACGTTTCAGAGAACGGTTGCCACTTGACAACGATATCACCCACTTGTGACTCACTGTGTGAACAAGCATTGTGTGTGCTACAGAAGGAGTTGCTGAACCATCTCAGGATAACCACCTGACGTGTTTATTTTTTTAAAATGTTTTTTGATTATCACCCGATGGAGTTGTACAGAATTATTTTCTACTTGCTCCAAAATACAGTATTCAGTATTCAGACCTGGGTGTGGTTCGGGTGTTTCGTTTTAGATCCATCAAGACCTCGTAGCACCTTATCATTTCCTGGCTCAACGATCCGCTCAAGAATTTTTCTATCGTTCCAGTCCCATCTCATTCTGAATCTCATTGGATCCTATAGAACACCACTAGTAACTACTTTAACCACTTATTAACATTCTTTTATTATCGCCATATATTTCTTGTTTATATGCTTGTACACTTGTCTGACCCTCGTTGTTACCGGTACACATCTTCCTATGACGTGCACTTCTCACTGAGTCCGATTTATATCCACTGGGTCTTACTATTTGTTGTGCGATAACTTGGAATCGTGTATTCCTTACTTTCACACATCGGATCTACTTCTGCTCCTACTAGGACCATTGCACTTTACAGATGTTTCAGTTTGGTGGCATTTCTTAACACGGATGGCGGTGGATCAGTTTATATCTGTTGTTAGTCCGGCAACAGGAAAAGAAGTTATCTTCCGCTGGCAACCCTCTAAGGTTAGTTTTCCGCGTTGCTGGTGAGTTTGTTGATTAGGCCAGTGAAATAAAAGAAGAGAATTCCGAGATCGTCGATGTGATCGGATGGATCGCGGAAGACGTCGATGAACTCTCTGACGATCACGAACTTCATACCTTGCTGGCTGAAGTTGACAGAACTTCTTACGATTCTGTTTTCAAGCTGTCTGCGGCATACAACAGCGCAATATTGGACAAGATATCAGAGGTAGATGACAGACTATTCTCATCACTTTAAACAGTGGGACAAATGCGGAACAAAACCGTCGTTCCTCAGCCGACGCGCATCGGTTGCTCATTTACAGTTCATACTGTACCAGTGTTACAACCGAGCAGTGGCGGAACCCGACAAACTCAATCAGTACCCCCCTTTCTCTCCACAAGTTTACGGGGAAACTTCTTTTGAACTGATTTGCCAGATGATAAATACCATCAATATCTCATCAGACGATACTTTCATTGATCTCGGCAGTGGTGCGTTGCTGCTTAAAGCTGTTGATTTCTTTTTAGGTGTCGGTCAAGTTGTATTGCAGGTAGCTGCCTCCACAGATGCGAAGTTTTGCTATGGTATCGAAAAGGCCGAATATCCAGCTCTTTGTGCTCGCAGACTTGATTCAGAATTTCGAAGCTGGATGGCTTTTTATGGGAAATCCTATCGTCCGTATTTGGTAAGGTTTAATCCTTTTCCCGGTCTTTTCCGTTGGAGAACGCGTCTTTTTACCTCGCTTTTCTTTCATCTAAATTTGGCCTACTCAAACCACGTCTTACTGCGCAATATATATTAAGTAGTTCCTGTTCCTGTTAATCCATTCCTGTTTGCTGTATACCTTAGCTTTTTAATCAGTTTTTTATAAAATCGGTCTGTTTGCTCAGTCAGCCATTCATTGGGATCTTGCGGCCATCACTGCAACTGCGAAGAACACTCGAGGAACATCGTACTACAGCGACATGCATCAAACATAGAATGATGCGGAATCGATGGAGCTGACAAGAGTTTTCCCTCCTGCTCTACAACTCAAGGAACTCACTTGCTAGGTGACTGCGAACCACTTGCACTTTAGAAAATATCCTTTTCTGAGTAATAGTGACTTATAGTACCACTAACATTTACACTATGACTGTCGTCTGCATAGACGGGCTTGAGGTTGACGTTTATCCCTCCGTTCGTCCACGGTTTCTTTGACTAGACGCCGATTCTCCAAACAGTTTACATTTTTATGTCTAGGGGCCGACCTCATTGTCGTTAGTCTCTTTGTCACCCCCTTCTACTTAGCCTTCCCCTTCAACCACGATTTAACTCTTTTGCGGAACAGTAGCCGGATATTGGCTCTCCAGAACAGTGCCCATCCGTTACTGGTGGCTTAGTGGCGCCCCTCTTCGTCTTCTTTTCCTTGCTCATGTATTGGAGCACAGTTGCTGTCTCACCCTCAACTAAGGCGTCTAATGATGGTGATAGTCCAGTCGTCTGAGTGTGTCTTGAACAAATCTAGTTTGTGGCCAAATGGTCAAGGCGTCTGCTTCGTAACCCAAAGGTCTCCGGTTCGAATATGCGTAGTTGCAATGACTGCACCGTATCCCTAGCTCGAGCGCGACTTTTGGTATTCACATAGTAACAAAAGCTCGATACGGTATACCGGAGTGTTTCAAATAACTTTTTCTGAGGGTGTTGTTATCCGTGCAACTATCGTTAGTTCCCTACCTACTGTCATTCCTCACACTTCGCCGTCTAGCCCCTACACGGGATACGCACCACCATGAGGCGTAGACTGGTTTTTACCCCGGTCGGGGGTGTGAGGACCAAGTATTCATGCTTTGTCAACTCCGAACATCGCCATCTCTACCGTAGGCCCACTATAGTCACCTTCCAAGACATTGGGGCCGCATTCGACTGAGTAGTCCGACCTGCTTTGTGGCGATGCATGCAGGCTTCCCGGACCCTTTTCTCTCACTAGTGGTGTGCGGCAAGCATGCAGTATGTCGCCGTTTTTCTTCACTTTTGCAATTATGATGTCCTGTTGCGATTTTTTGAAGGGGCGTAGAGTTTTTACCTGGAGCTCCTTCCAGGTGAACGCGCAACCAACTTAGATTACGCCGATGATATCGCTTTGCTCGGTGATGACTCTCGCGGTATGCAAGTGATCCTTGATCGACTGATGATTGAAGCGTCCAGATATGATATGCGCTTTGGCCCCTCCAAATGTGAAATGCTGTTCCAGGATTGGCAATCTCCCTTTCATCAGTTCACCATCAAAGGCTTCCTCTTAGGAGGATAATCTCCTAAGAAATCCAACAGGGTGATACATCCCTAACATCGAATCCTTAACCTATAAATCTACAAGTTAATCTCATTGGTTGGTCAGCAGAGTGTTCCACAACAATCTATTGCTATTATTCTTAAGTACAGAATAGGGAGGGAGAAAAAGCATTCAGAAAAGTCAGTCGCACCATATGGCCCGCACACGCAGACAGTTTTGTCAACCTAGGGAGCTTCCTTTCTACCAATGGCACTTTTGTAGAGGAAGTATCCCTTCGGATCGCCAAAGCCCGGTCGGCTTTTGCCAACTTGCGACATTTGTGGAGTCGTCAGGACATCTCGCCCTTGTTAAAGTGCTGGATCTAAAATGCCAGTGTCCGCCTGGTGTTGTGTGGATTTGAATCCTGACCGCTTTGTCTAGATGACATGCCTAGGCATTTGGCCTTTGACAGTGCCTGTTTGCAGAGGATCACCTTTGTATCGTGACAGCATCGAGTGCCCAATATCAGCCCCCGAGTCTTGGGCAAGATGCGTCTGCCTCTCTGTAGGCTTGTTTTGCTACGATGATTGTGGTGAGTTGGCAACGTTCTACGCAAGCTTACTGAACGTTTACCACGCCGCATCTTATTGGCGCTCACAGGGCCGCATTGGAAGAGGCCATGTGGAGTCCAACCGACAACTTGGCGACAAGGCATGAAAGCATTGACATTTTGCCTTGCCATCGCTGGTGCAGTGTGCCTACCAGATAGGGGACCCTAGGATGGGAAATACAGGTCGCTTGCAACGTTAGAGACAATAACGCAAAACCGGATACAGTGGAAGCTATGTTCACAAATATGCGTGATTCCCTGAGTACGAAAGTATTCACTTTTAAATAGGAAGATAGTACAGTATGGAATTTAAAATATAAACGAATGTTTATTGTCCCTTCCCATTATTGATTCTTTTTCCCATGTGTTGTTACTCTTATTCTCTTACTCTTTGATTTCATGGTTATAAATGCCTCGACATGCCTCCCTATAGACTGATATGTATCTGCTTAAACATATATATATATATATATATATATATATATATATATATATATATATATATATATATATATGTTGCATTCTTGATGCTTCTTCACCGCAGTTGGGCTTAACCAACTTACACTTAAACTAGGTCTTTTTAAGCTGGCTAAATTTCATTCCACTTTATTTGGTTTGTTCTGCCTACCTGAATACTCTTCTATTAACTGGCCACGTTGCTTACATTAATTGCGCTTATCTTCGGTAACTCTGTTGCGTTTTGTAGCATTTTTAACTAACTTGTGGACATTTTTTCCTTATCTTGGATTTGTTGCTAACCAACTTACTTCATATGCTTATTTAGCTTAGAGTTATGCCACCGCATCTGTATGCATTATTGTATTTGTTTTATTTCATCTTGTCGTTCCAGGTGATTGGCTGTTGCTTGATATCCCTGGTGTGGCTGCGCCTGATGTGCATGTTGACAAGGTGCCTACCTGTCTGTTACCCACTACCTCGTCCATACTGGCTCCAGGAGACAGTTGGTCGTTGCTGGAGGAGACGGGGTGCACGGTCCTTGTGGCCGTGCTAGGCTCGAAGAGTGGTTCCATGCACTCAGTGTGGAGCGGACTACGGTCCAGCCACCGCCTTGTGTGCGCTTGATTTCCCAAATACAGCGTGCTTGTGTTTGCCTGTGAAGGAGTGTGGGCCGGCTCCGTTGATGAAACGTGGTTCCCGTCCGCATGCCTCCCGGTCTTATTCCTTCGGGTTTACACTAGATATGGGGTATGTGGTTGGAGCTGTGGGTGGTGCAGCGCAGGCGTCCTGTGGCTTGCCACAGTGACAGGCAAATCCGAAACCGGATGCCGCCAACCATATATGTATATATATATATATATATATATATATATATATATATATATATATATATATATATATATATATATATATATATATATATATATATATAACCTATTTGTGCCTTCGCGCATTTCGCTTCACTTCCTTTTAATTCTAAATCTGCCATTTTAGTTTTGCATGGCATGGCACCCAACTTGCACTCAATCTTTATTGATTCCTGGGTTTGCATCTAGTGCAGTATTTGCCTGCAGAGGCTGATTGACAGGATGCGTACGTTTGACTTTAATGTATCGCATTCATCGAACTGCCTCTGTTTCGTTCTGTTCAACTCTAGCCGCAACCGTAACTCGTTAATACGGAGACATGTTCCATCACGACGCGACTGGATCTTAACCTGGTGTGATTTTTCGCGAACCTCTTTTACCATCTTTGCTATACTGGGTGGTGCCTCTGGACTCTGAGTGATACTCGGTGTTGCCCAACTGCGGTGACTCAGCTTAATGTATGCAACCTCAGCATGATGCACTGGGTGCGTAATATACAATGGTTGGAAAGCAGATACATTTTTGTATGTCCCTAACTGGAGTGTGTGACAGATCTCACTCAGATCCGAACGGGTCTCGGCAGTCGCACTCTCGAGCTGGGCTATTTAGTGATAGTCACATAGCACCTCGAACAAAATCACTTTCTCAGAATGAGCAGTCGGAGAATATCATCTTCCCTCCGGACCCTCTTTGTGATACTCCCTCTTTTCTTCTTTCTTTACTCTTGTCCATTGAGCGAGAGACTATCGCTGACATCGTAGCTGCTGCCATCGATTTGGGTGGCACTTTGGTCAAATCGCGACTCGCATTTCACACTGGTTCTTTTAACACCTACACTTTGGATCAGATCGGCCAATAGGCGACATTCTCCCCCTTTGCCCTCACGATATTTTTGTGTGCTGTGTCTCCGAAACACGCATACAATATAACAGTGTTGTGACGAATCTTCGAATCTTTTTCTGAATCTGGCCACAAAGACTGTACTCTTTTCATCTCTGACGATACTGAGTCACTGGTTCAAGGTATTTCCAGTTTTGGTATCGTCCACAGCGAACGTGCTGAAAGCAATCCAACTGACCGGATGCCGGTGAACAGCCGCATGTGTGCACTTAGACTTCGAATGTCTGTTGAGGGGATTGATAAGCACCGCCTGAAGACGGGGGTTTTTCATCGCCCCCGTTTATGCCCCTGCTGTCCAGAGGGTATCAAGGACGATTTCTATTGCCATTTTCACCTTTTTTCACATGGCGACATCGCGATTGTTGCTGATAATATAAATGATCAAGTTGATCGCCTTTCAAACTCGGGATAACACCTGGGAGGTCACTTTGGGCTCGGTACGCGCCGAACAGACAACTGTGATCGATTCCTACAACTCTGCTCCGACCACACTGTTTTCCAGCACAAATGTTCACATCGCGTCACCTGGTGCCCAGCGAATTCCTCTATGGTCTGGACCAAAATTGACCATCATCATCAACAGCAGTACATCAGCCATT